GAGGCTGGGGCAAGAGAATTTTTTAAGCCCAGGAGTTGGAGGTTGCTGTGAGCTGTGATGCCACGGCACTCTTATTACCAAGGGCAATAAAGTGAGACTCTGTCTCTAAAAAAAAGAAAAAATAGATCTCAGTTCTGCCTTAATCTGAGCTGAGAAGTCCTAGTCAGAGCACCTCACTTTGTCCTTTGTGAGGCTGAGTTCTGTGTTTGACATCCTTTCAGGAAGGGGTGACACCACACAAGAATACTTAAACAGAAGCATTTTGTTTGAGCATATTAGGGCATGTCTTAGAAGGGCATAGGTTCAAGAGACATTGATAGAGTATTTCAGTATAATCCTGGTTAGTAAAGGTCCCAAAGCTCTTGAGAGGTGACTTTACCTATTTGAAAAGCTCTAATTCATCATCTTTTGATTTGGACAAAAGGAAAATTTAAAATGTGGAACTCTGACTTAATAAGTATTTGAATCTTTTTCTTTTCCAATTTTAAGTTTCAAGTGTCGTCAGATGTATCACGCCCCCACAGACTGTGCCACAATCCGGAAATGGCTCACGAAGTGTGCGGACGACTCTGAAACAGCCAACTACATTAGTGCTCACACTAAAGATGTAAGGACTCTATCTTACCTGTCAAGGATTTGACCTCCTTAGTGCTGCCCAGGGCCTTGCATTGGAGATTTGCTATTGGAAAATACAACACCCAGAGCCCCAGGGCCCTTGCTAGAGTCTGTAGTCCTCCCCAGAGTTGGCAGAATTTGCAGCAGTTTATCATAGAATGCATTGGATGCATTTGTTTTAATAAATGCCTAAATACCTTGAAAAGTTTGACCGCATAGGGGAGCTGATTATAAAGAAAATTAATGTGTGTTGAATTCCTACCATGCTTTAACAGCCCTGGGAAAGAGGTGATTTATCAGGCCTGATAAATATTATACTAAGTCTATAATGCAAGCCTACACCTGCTCAATTCTCATTTTGAAGCTTTCCATGGGAAAATATTGCCTTCAGACTATAGGGGCCACTGTACCCTGTGCACTCACTGAGTCAGACATTCCCAAGTACAGATGTGACTGTGACATAATTAAACAGTCTACTTCACAGTATTGAGAGGGAAGAGCATCAGACTGCCTTGCTGCCTGGGGTTGTTGACATCTCTGAAAGGAGAGAGAGGGGAGCTTTAAGATGTGGTTTTCTTGCCCTCTTTTGGAAGTAAATGTCCAGGCAAGCTGACCAGGAGTTAATTCAATGTGACAGCTCTTATGTTTCTTTGGCAGTCTTCTCAAGCAGGCAAGGTTTCTGCTGATTCATCCCTGCATTTAATTTGAGCGGCTTCATGGCAGGGGTAGATGGTGGAAGACTTAGGGGGGCTTAGCTGGTGTCTGAAGTGTTTCAGAGCCAAATATGCTCTCCTCATTTCCTTGAATTGCTATTCCAGCTTCAGTGACCTGCCGCAATTAAGAGAGATACTCTTCCCCAGAAGTGCTGCACGATGAGCTACTGGGCACAAGAGCCAGGAGCTTTGTATAATTTGTCTTAAAACTTGGCTGATGGTACCTGAGCCTAATGGCACTCTTCTGTCTCCTCAGTGTCCCAAGTGCAACATCTGCATTGAGAAAAATGGAGGCTGCAATCACATGGTGAGCAGAAGTCTATACACTTTGCATGTATGACATGGAGCCTTTGATCAGCGTGGCCTTAACATGTTCTCTTCTGTTTCCCTCTGACAGCAATGCTCTAAATGTAAACACGGTGAGTCCCAGGCTTGGTGTGTAAGGCTCAGTGGCATGGTCTGTGTTTCTTGTGCGTGGGTCTTCATTGACATTTTAGTGAATACGTCTGTAGTGAAATGACATAACAGAGGGGAGCCTCGGTTGTCACAGTAACTGGCATGAAGTAGCTCTTGATTTTTATTTATTCTTTGGTTCCTTTTATATTCCCAGTGCCTCATTGCTGACACATGTAGTCAGAAGTCAAATTTGAGATAACCCTTATGATTCTCAGTTATCCAGGATTTTTCATTTTATTCTTTTTGCCAAGGCAGGTAAGTAGCATGGGTCTTGTCTATGCAACTTTACAGATAACTTTCAGAGCAAGTTGTACATGGTTTTGCCAGAGGTAGTAAAATAATATTTTCCCTTAAGGTTTTATGCTATTTCTTAAAGGGGTTTTGATTTAACTTTTAGTCCTCCATCTATCAAGAACAGTTTACATAGCTAGAACCTGTTGGTTTGGATTTTTTCCTGCCAGATCAAGTGAAGAAACAAAATCCTTTCAAGTAGAAAATGTGGTGAAGTAGGTCTCCTCCTACACATCTGCTTTGACACTGACCAGGAACTCCTGAGAATATCTCTTTGTAAGGGCCCATGCAAATGCTATTCCTAGGAGACCTCTGTAATGAGTGAACATAGCAAGGTCTTAGATGGGAACGGTGACTCTTTAGTGTGGAATGAAAACAGGCCAGTATTGGGCAGCACCTGTGGCTCAGTGAGTAGGGTGCTGGCCCCATATACTGAGGGTGGCGGGTTCAAACCTGGCCCAGCCAAACTGCAACAAAAAAATAGCCAGGCGTTGTGACAGGCGCCTGTAGGCCCAGCTACTTGGGAGGCTGAGACAAGAGAATGGCCCAAGCACAGGAGTTGGGGGTTGCTGTGAGCTGTGTAATGCCACAGCACTCTACTGAGGGTGACAAAGTGAGACTCTGTCTCTATAAAAAAAAAAAAGAAAGAAAAGAAAACAGGTCAGTACAGCTAGGTGTTGTGGCAGGTGCCTGTAGTCACAGCTACTCAGGAGGCTAAGAGGATCACTTGAGCCCAAGAGATTGAGGTTGCTGAGAGATAAGATGCTATACCACTCTACTGAGGGTTAAAGAGTAACACTCTGTCTCCACTCAAAAAAAAAAAAATTTTGGCTCGGCGCCTATAGCTCAACCGGC